AACCAGTTATTAAGTCCAAAGGTTCACATACTTTTTCCTCCCTGCACTGTGAATGTTTACATGTTATGTGCAATTAAACCATGGCAACATCTGTTTATGTAGTATTATGTTCAGCAGACTGTGTTCTTCTATTGTTGTGACTTAGATGACGTTCAGAGCACATTTTATGCCCAATTCATGCAAAACTCCACGTAATCCCAAGGGGTTCACATACTTTTTCTTGCAACTGTAAATGGCCATCTTAACCCCTGTTTGATCTTCAACTGCCATGATGCTGCACATGTGGTTAGTTATGACACCAGCCATTTGATGGTTTGACATTTTGGTTGAGAGCACAAGTAAATTTGACAGTTAATATTCCCGCCATGCTTGGAATATAACTGCTGTTTGAAACCATAAAGGCTACTTTCACACTGATCCACAGCAAAAAACAAGGCAAAAGCGCATGCCAAGTGCATTTTTTTACAGGACACGAGACTCAAAAAAGCACCAAGAATGGTGCTTTTCTAATTAATATTTGAGGCAATTTTGCCGCATTTTCCATTACTCTCAATGGGGAGGTACCAAAAATGCAGCAAGCAGGATTTTAAAAAATGCACAGGACCCACAACAGATCAGTGTGAAGAGTTCCATAGGAATACACAGTCACATGTTTTGCTTCCACTTTTTTTAACCAGTAACTCACCACCCTATAGCAGAAATACTGCTATAGGGTGGCACGGGTGCGCAAAATCACGTATATATACGTGATTTTGCAGTTCTAGGTAGGGGGCGTGCATGTGCCCTACCCACGCCGCCATTCGTGGCCGTGACTGTCAATCACCGGGTAACCAGTGATTACTCGTCGGCACCCGGTGATCGCCGAGTATCTCCAAAGGGGGAGAGACTTGTATGTAAACAATACAGATCTCTCTCCTGTTAGCTCCTGCACACTGCTTTGTATGACTCTGCATAGCAGAGCCATACAAAACAGTGTGCTTACAGTGAAATACAGACACTGCCCAAATAGTGAAACAGCACACGCCCCACATGTTAACCCATTCCTGCCCAGAGGCATTAGTACAGTGTCAGTGCTTTTTGATAGCACTGATTACTGTATTGGTATCACTGTCAGTTACACCAAGTTAGTTCCCCCCCTATCAAAATGCCTGCAGCAGTCCCGAAGTCCCACTATAAGTTGCTGATCGCTGCCATTACCAGCAAAAAAAAAAATTCCAGTATATATACTGCCATTTGTAAACGCTATAACATTCACGTTCACCAATTAATATACATGTATTGATATTTTGTTTAGTGAAGACATGTAGCAGAATATATTTTGGCCTTAATTTATGACAAAATTTGATTTTTAAAATTTTTTTACTAAACATGTTTAATAGCAAAAACTCAAAAATATTGTTTTTTCTCAAAATTGCTGGTCGTTTTTTGTTTATAGTGCAAAAAATAAAAACTGCAGAAGAGATCAAATACCACCAAAAGAAAGCTCTATTTGTGAAAAAAAAAGGATGTAAATTTCATTTGGGTGTAGCATGACCGTGCAATTGTTAGTTAAAGTAATGCAGCATCGTATTTCAAAAAATGGCCTGGTCAGGGAGGAGAGTAATTCCTCTGGAGGGCAAGTGCTTAATGCAAAAGCAGAAAAAACACGGATCAGTGTGAAAGCAGCCTTAGGCTGGCCATACATTATACAATGTTCTTGAGATTTTTGGTTTAGATTTACCAAAAACCATATAATAGGAGGTCAAACCTAACAACACTTTCAATTGTATCCAGTTAGGTGGGCCCTTGCACTACATAGTTGAAGGTAAATCTAAAGGAAATTGGACAGAAAATTGTATAGTGTATGGCCTGTCTTAGGCTATGTTCACACTAGCCTTGTTAGCAAGTGGCAAACAGGTGTTTGGGAAGCGATTTTACCGTTTTCCAAACGCCTCGGAAAATTCTGCACATTGCAGCACATAGTGCTGTTCAAACGGGAGTGTTAGTGTCACGTTGCGTTGCGGAAAAACAGACACCTTTGGTCGAGTCAGGAGGAGTTGAAGCCTCCTATTCAAGTCTATGGTGCCGCTCCGCTAACGCTAACCGCCCGACCGGCATTTGCGGTGTGGTTGCGACGCGGTTGCAAGGCTTTTGGGGAGCATTAACACCATTCAAACTTCATTATAGGCGTTTGTGGGGCGTTTTTAAATGCCTAGCAACTGCCGCTAAACCGCGCATGCGGTGTTTCTGGAGCGTTTGCGGAGCGTTAGAAACGCTCCGCAAATGCCGGACCAACGCTTGTCAAACGCTATAGGGGCGTTTGGCAAGAGTTGGAAAAAAAGTCAAGTGTGAACAAGCCCTAAATCAATAGGTTTAGTTCTGCTTTAAAGAGACTTCATGGCATTCATCCTGTGCCTGATCAAAGGTAACTGTTTAATTCTGGCTATGACTTGCACTGTGCCTGGATTATGCTTTGGCCTGTCACCTGCACTGAAGTTCTACCAGTTATGGGTTATGTTGCATGTCACTTGCCTCACTTCCAGCCTAATTTCTGGTTCTAATTTTACTCAACATTTTTGTACTATAGAGCAGGGGCGGACTGACAACTCCTGGGGCCCCGGGCAATAGGGGATCATGGGGCCCCTGTGTCCTTGCCCAAACTCAAAAAAGCCTATGAAAAAAAGGAATCTCATGGGGCCCCCTACTGACCCCGGGCCCTCGGGCACTGCCCGAGTTTCCAAATGGTCAGTCCGCCCCTGCTACAGACGTTTCTGTCTGCAGTAGACTGACCCCCTTTTCTTGATAAAGAGGGTCCACCATAACCTACAATAAGGAACAATTAGAACACTGTACGCTTTTCTAACTACCTACAGTAGGTCCTTGCTGTAGACATGCATCCTATTTGGCTTGATGATCATTGTCATGAAGACAGAAATTGATGGGAAATCAAAAGTGTTACTGTTATCACCAGAAAGGAGATCAAAGGAAATCTTCCAAATGGGTCACCTTTTCCAATGGCCACAGGGATTTACACAAATTTCTGCTTCTGGGATTGGAAGTAGGGGAAAATCTCTCAAAAGGGACACAAACAGCAACATACATTGGCTGCAAACTACAGTATATTACCAGCTAAATTACCAAAAATGATCTTGTTTAACCCGTTTTATTATCCAGACCACCTTTCAGACCAAGGGCAGACTGACCATTTGGAAACTCGGGCACTGCCCGAGGGCCCGGGGTAAGTAGGGGGCCCCATGGGATGCCCTTGGTACCTTTTTCATAGGCTTTTTTTGAGTGTGGGCAAGGACACAGGGGCCCCATGATCCCCTATTGCCCGGGGGCCCCATGAGTTGTCAGTCCGCCCCTGTTTCAGACCACACAGTCTGGTCTCTCTACTGCATTTAAAATAATAAAGTGTGGTCAAGGACCAGGCCAATCTGTGATTAAAAGGTAAAGAAAAGAAGAAGCAAAACACTAAGGTCTAATCTGTGTTTTTTCTCTCCTATGAGTTAGCTGCAATATAGTAATACCTGACTAGCTTCCAGTGGTGCCCCTTTTTTCTCCTAGTCTGTATCCTGTGTGCAGGGAACTAATGTACGTTTAAAAGCATACTAAGACACTATTTAAAAATAAATTTAAGGATATAGTAATGAAATATAACTGACATAGATGAAGGTATTTTATATCTGCCTATACTTCTGCATTGACCGCCAGCAAACTATCAGCTTTTATATGCATTTGCAATTATGTACATGTGAGAGTATGTGTGTCTTTATATATGTGTGTCTTAGCAACAAAATTCTGAACCACAATGAAATGTATGGAAACGAAATGGTGCTAAAACCACAGCAGTTCCTATTAGATGCAATGGCTTTAGAAGAAACCATTTATTAGTTTTAGCATGTTCACATTTTTAGCTTTTGATAAATGTCATACAACCAGTTTTATCTGCTTTTTCTCATGGATAAAAATAAAGGCAAAGACTATGTTGCCTCTAATTATTTTTTTCCAGTAGGATGTGTGTGCTTTGTGCATTATCCCTCTGAAAATCTCATCTCTGCCACTCATGAGTGCTGGCCTTGCAGAACAGGGGGGAGAGATAATATTAGGCCTGTTGTATAGGGGAGAAAAAATGTTTTTTTACTGATATGAAATGAGATGCATTGTTGTCTATGGGATATATAGCACAATGCTGAGTAAAGATCAGTAATACAGCATTAAGTACAGAGCAGTAAAATAAAAATAGAAAATTTTTCATTTGAGTGCAGTAATTTACTCGCATGTTTGCTTATTTAGGCCACTTGCACAAAAGCGTCATCATTTACTGATGTTTACTCAGGCAATTGTGAAGTCCATGTGCAAGGGGCCACAATACTGGCAGCGAAGTATAGACTACTCATGTTTATGCATACACACATTTACTCGCCTGTACTCTCCATTACTCAAGTCTTTACACACAGTTTTTGACCCCTTGCACATAGGCGTCAGTTCGTTAGGCGTTAGTTCCTGAGTAAATATCAGTAAATTATAATGTCCACGTGCAAGGGGCCTAAGCATGTTCACATGAGAATAAATGAGTATATTACAATACTGGCAATGAGGAAGAATTTTTCTTGTCAATATGTACCTTTACTCGCCTATACTCAACATTACTCAGGTCTTTAACCACTTGCCTACCGGGCACTTATACCCCCTTCTTTACCAGGCCAATTTTCAGTTTTCAGCGCTGCCGCACTTTGAATGACAATTGTGCGGTCAATTGCAAGATTGTACCCATGTGAAATTTTTATCATTTTTTTCCTCACAAATAGAGCTAACTTTTGGTGGTATTTAATCGCTGCTGGGCGCTTTACTTTTTGCGCTATGAACAAAAAAATTAAAAAATATATATTTTTCTTTGTTTCTATTATAAAATTTTTCAAACAGTTAATTTTTCTCCTTCACTGATGTGTGTTGATGAGGCAGCACTGATGGGCACTGATAGGCGGCACTGATGGGCACTGATAGGCAGCACTGAAGGGCACTGATAGGTGGCACTGATAGGCAACACTAATGAGGTGGCACGGATAGGCGGCACTGATAGGCAGCACTAATGAGGTGTCACGGATAGGCGGCACTGATAGGTGGCATTGATAGGCGGCACTGATGATGGGTACTGATAGACAGCACTGACAGATGGCACTGACTGGCATCACCGCTGGGCACTGACTGGCGGCACTGCGAGGCATTGACTGGCTGCTGGGAACTGACTGGCACAACCACTGGGCACGGACTGGTGGCCCTGACTGGCAGCACTGCATTGATGGGCACAGGTGAGTGGCACTGGTGGGCACAGGTGGGTGGCACTGGTGGGCACAGATGGGTGGCACTGCTGGGCACAGGTAGGTGGCACTTTTGGGCACAGGTAGGTGGCACTGCTGGGCACAGGTGGGTGCACTGCTGGGTGGCACTGCTGGGCACTGGTGGGTGGCATCGCTGGGCACTGGTGGGCGGCACTGCTGGGCACAGGTGGGCAGAACTGGTGGGTGGCACTGCTGGGCACCGATCATCAGGGCACTGATCATCAGTGCCCTGATGATCGGTGCCAATCCCTGCTCTGACAACTGACAGCGTGAGGAAAGTGCAGCCGAGAACCGGCAATTGCATTTCCCGGTGATCAGCGTGTCATTGGACACGGCTGATCACATGGTAAAAGGCCTCTGTGATTGTCCTTTTACCACATCACGTGATCAGCTGTGTCCGTAGGACACAGCGATCACGGAGATCGCCATGTGCGCTCCCCCAGGGGTGCGCAGGAGAGCGCATTCTGGGAGGACGTCATATGACGCCTTCCCAGAACTGGCCGGCCGCAGTGTAGCCGTCGTTCGGCTATCTGTGGTTGGCAAAAAGTTAAACACAGTTTTTGTCCCCTTGCACACAAGCATCACAGGTTCCTGAGTAAACATTAGTAAATTATGATGCCCGTGTGCAAGGGCTCTAAGCATGTTTACACGAGTATAGATGAGTATATTACAATACTGGCAATGAAGAAATATTTTACTTGTCATTACACTAAGGCACTTTTACTCGCCTATACTCAACAGTAGTCAGGCCTTTACACACAGATTTTGGCCCCTTGCACACAAGCGTCACAAGTTCCTGAGTAAACATTGGTAGACTATGACACCAGTGTGCAAAGGTCCTTAGTTTAAAGAGGTCAAACTAAACCAAAATGTTTCTCTTTGAACTACCCTGCTGTGGATTATCCTCCTTATTGGGAACGTTGAGATTTATCATTAAATAGAATGCTATTCTTGAAGTGTTTCTTTATTTACACTGATTTTTGCAAACTGAGGCTTGTGACCTGTATATAGAAAGCCTTTCAACCAGATTAGGTACAGTATGTCATTTTTTCTTATGAATAAATGTTAACTGTTTATTTTTGCGAGTTGAATTGCTTGTATACACGAAAGGCTAAAGAGCAAGTCTCCATTCATTTCTATCTAGCCCTTTTCCTTTCAAGCATTGCTGTGAGGGTCAGGGTATGGCCGTTGGTTTCACAAGGGTATGTTCACTTGGTGGTCTCCAGTACCATCTGGCAGTGGGAGTTGAGCTCAGAAGAACAATGAGAGCTTGCTGTCGGTTCTTTCCACCTGGTGTGTGCACCCTCTCTTTAGGCCTATGTAAGGCTTGGAACCTGCTAAGTTGCATTTGACCTATTCAGTAATATAGAGGACAAGAAAACGGGACAGTGATACATTTCATTAGCAGAGAACAAGAAGACAGGACAGTGATACATTTCATTTGCATAACACACTCTTTCAAAATGTACAAGTTTTTATTTTCTGTAGCTTTGTGTTCCTTTATTCTGTATGCCTCCCCTATATTCTCGTACACCCTCTACTACTCATCAAGTATAAATGATGAGTAGTAAATTGTATAAAATTTTTTTGAAAATGCTATTCATGCAACTGTGATGGAGTGTGTCCTTTGCCGGTTAACCTGCATTAGTAGAGTTAATGAGGTTGGAAAATACGTTTCTTTGGATCCCCAGTTCTCTGTATGTAAGGCTTGTGGTGAGGCCATTTTCATCCTCTGGTACCTTCTGCATATCATTTGCTGTATATAGTCTCATTCACAGCAATCAGGCAGCAAAGCCCCAGTAGTCTAGTGGATAGATCGATTTTAAAAATAGGAACTGTGTGTATTTCAGTCCCAGTGGAAAACTTGACTAGTTTGTTATGACAACTATACCTGACAACAAGTAAAACTACTGTTATGATGTCATCAATAGAGAAATATCAGATAAGTGATTTTATGTTCAAAATGTTTACAAAAACAACTCTAACATGATTCTATTACTGTTAGTTCACAAAAATGAATATGAAAATAAAGTGAAACTTAAATACACAGCTAAATGTAAATCTTACAGTCTCTTGCTCAGTTATGGGATTATATACACAAAATGTAAAAAAGTAAAGTTTAAAAAATAAATCAGGTGCAGAGTTCAATTTTGACTAGGGTCACAAGACTTCTCTTAAAGCCAATTTTCTCAATAGACAGGCAGCATGTGTTTCTCACCTGCAGAGCTATGATAGCTCAGTAGAATAAAGATTTGTGATCACTCTCATCTGCCATACAAATGTCCAGTGGAGGGGTATAGGTCGAAAAAAAAAAAAAAACCTTTGTTGTAGTTTGTAGTTGACTGATCTCTGGAAGGCTCAGGTGATGGAAGACAGAGTCAAAAAAACTTTCTTTTACAAAGCTGCCAAACCTTTGCACATAAAGGGCTTTTTACATTCTCATTCATGGTCAAACCCTTATGCTAAAAAAGAACAGACTTGCATAGAACAATGCAAAGAAATCTCTTCAGAACTGTTATGTTAAATATTAAAAATTTGGGGTTGGTTTTATATATATATAGTTATATTTGGAAATAAAACCTGTAATGGGATATATGTAGGCTGTTGTTGCTACCATCTACTTTTAAGATCACTGCTTCTAAGGTCACTGTCCGGCTGTCATGCTGGTCCACTAGCGTAATTACTTCACAAGTCACTGACCTGGATCTACTACATACTTTCCAACTTTCTGACATGAGAAAAAGGCACACCTTTTAGCAAAAAGTATGTAGGCAAAAGAAACACCCTTGACATGCCCCCAGCTATGCAGAAAGAATGAATATGCAGAAAATGATTGGTTAACCCACTATTGTTTTTGTCAATCATTTTCTTTTATACTGGCTTTTCAAATACCACATAAAGCAATAATAAAGTAATAATTTAGAGGGTGGGAGAAATAATTAGTACAGCGTAACATTTTTGTTGGTTAAAGTGTTATTATATATTATCTAAAAAATTTAATATATTGTAGCTTACTAACTCTTAGATTATTGATTTACTACAGGTATTTATATAGCACCAACATACTGTATGTCCCTGTCTTCAGGGAGCTTAGAACCTAAAGTTCCTAGATTGTAAGCTCGAAAAAGCAGGGCCCTCGATCCCCTCATGTTTTACAGCGCTGAGCGAACCATTGCCACTTTATAAATACTGTATAATAATAATAATAAGTCCCTAACTCACATTTACATATACTAGGGCCAATTTAGACAGAAGCCAATTAGCCTACCAGCATGTGTTTGGAGTGTGGGATGAAACCCATACAGGCACAGAAAGAACATACAGGCTTCATGCAGGTAATGCCACAGTTGGGATTCAAACCAACAACACTAGTGCTTCTAGGCAGAAGTACTAACCCAGTAGTTCTTAACCTGGGTTCGATCGAACCCCAGGGGTTCGATGAGTCAGTCTCGCGGGTTTGGCGGAGGTGAAGACCCACACCCCGACTCATATGATTCATGCAGTAAATATTCATTATTATGTTTTTGTTTTTGTGTGAAAATCATGTTTTAATGGTTTTGTTCTTTGTTCTTAACGGTTTTGTTCATTTTGTGCACCTATGTATAAATATATACCTAAATATATACCTATGTTTTGAATTTTAAAAATCATATTTTATTTTTCCAATTAAGAAGGGTTCGGTGAATGCGCATATGAAACTGGTGGGGTTCAGTACCTCCAACAAGGTTAAGAACCACTGTACTAACCACTTAGCCGATGGCCTGCATGATTACTTCTTTGGTCTTTTTTTCCATTTATTTTCATTTGGTGATCCCAGCCAGTAAGTCTGTTGTTTTCCAACTTCCTTTAACAGACCAAGCTGTCCAGCAAAAGTGGCAGTCAGAGTGTTGAAAAAAATATTTAACACCTACTGGGGTGCTTAGAATGGTCAGATTTATTAATTGATATATCCAAGGAGAGCCTGGATTACATTTAATGTGGGACCTTTAAGGTACGTATTCTCTTAAAAAGAAAAAAAAAATATAATACCTGTAGATGCATTCTGTACCAAACAGCTCTGTAGTCCAGGCTGAGCGGTGACCACAATACAGAGCTATTTGGCACCATTTTTCCTCCCCTGAGTGTACCATGATGTTTTGGAAGGTGTTGAGTACTGGAACCTGCTATTATAGAGTGCCTTAGTCCCATTGCTTTGGGTGTAAAGAGGTCTAATTTTACAGGTTTATTGGTGGGGTGGGGTGCACCCTGAGCAAAGAGGAGGATATTGGAGGTTCCCTTAATATATTACATAATACTTAAACTCGCGGAATTTAGGGTGGTGTGATTTTCTGACCTGCTTAGTGTGCAACTTGCCTTTCAACAGTCAAATAATATAGGCGTGTGCGCTGCTACACCCTAGGTATAATGAAGGAAGGAGGAGATTGCAGCACCCACTAGCCAAGTGTACTCTCACTCACATTGCATAATTAAACATAAAATGTGGTGTGCTAAAGCCTCATTGTGAAGCATAACTTTAAAAAACAAACAATAATAGTACAATCCTCAAAACATCAGTCCAATCCAACATATAAAAAGTCCTAATGTTGTGCTATCATCCAAAATTTCAAAAACGTGCTTGAATTGTAGACCCACTACCTGCTCACCTTGAAGTTTGACCTACAAATTATAATAGGTCAAATGTACTTTTAGAAGGACTGTGTAGCCTCCAAATTGTGATCCATGTGATATTTTTTCCATGTACTATATCTTCATGAATCTTAGCTCCAAACTGTGCATGAAAAAATAAAATATATACTGTAGTGCAACACCGTTTTAAAAAATTACACACTACACGCACTTACGATACACTCACATTAAGAAATATATTAAATGTGGTCCAAGATGCAATGATCCAATATTCGCATATTTGCATTTATTTGTGGAATATGCTATAAGAAGAAATAAAGGTAATTTTTACTGGATGTGCGGGCATCGGATGTTTGTTAGGGAAAGGTTATTTTTTTTAGTCTACATGTATTTTGAATTTTTTTAAGAGAATACTTACCTTAAAAATCCTAAGCTAAATGTAACCCAAGGTCTCCTTGGATAGAGTTTAACCTCTTCCCTACAGCGCTATAGCCGAAAGACGGCCACAGAACGGTTGTCTAGTTCTGGGATGACGTCCATGGACGTCAATCCAGAACA